CATTTTCGATCCAAAATGACGATGTAGGATACGTGATAATGGAGATGCTGCATGTGTGAGGAATTTGCGATTTGACTATTGATTCCAACGTGAAAGTTAAATATTTTATTATATTTAATAAAATATTATATAATATATTAATTAAAATACTTAGTATATGTATTTAAGTCAGGGTCTTCGAATCTCCATTTCACCGAATGTGTAGCCTAGATTAAGTTGTTGTTTAAGTCGATAATTAACCTAATACTATAAAATAGGTAGGGGTGAATTTTCAAACAAATTGTTTTAAAACACGTATTGAATAAAAAGAAACAATGAAGATAGAACATGGTCTCTTCATAATTTATTCTTATTGATTTATCTCTGCATAGGTGCCTACTTTGTATCTTTCGGCGTGAATAAATCCGTTTAGCAAACGACTGACCGAACTGGTTTTCGGCTGGTTAACTGTTTCGTGCATTCACATATCCAGTTAAAACTGGAGGCATTGCGAACTATAATTAGAGTTATAATTCGCACTAATTTCCTTTACAATGTCAGGACTGATTGCAAGCACCTCTACATGCCTCTCTGAACCTGGCCTGCAGGTAAAGTTGCATCGGTGTATGTAGAATACCTAACAACAGTGGCATGTCAAGCTTCGCGAATTCTATCCATCTGTCTTTTAAACTTGTGGCAAACGATCGATTATAAGGGTATTCACAACAAACAACATAATTTGATCGATTCTTTACCACGGCTTCAAATGGGAAAATATCGATAAAATCGATGATCAACTCTCCACCGCTGCCTGACAACTCTATTTTTAAATGCAACCTAAAATGCAAGCATTTTGAAGAGCCTAAAGAATCATCAGAAAATGAATATATACGTTATCAGGCGATTTGATGGCCGCCATATTTTGTGGCAGAACGGCATGCGATATATCGCATCGATTGGTTCCATGTTTTCAGCTACCAGTGGCGTGGCGTGAATGATCGATTATAGATATCTCCCCATTTGAAGCTATGGTAAATAATCGATTACTAAGGTGTTCGCTGCGAACACCTTGATAATCGATCCTTGTTCATAGTTTTGAGTGGCATATCAATCGATATATCGCAAAGCACGCCACGCCACTGTCAGCTACTTATCATTTTTATCGAATTTTGAGGTCGCATTTCTGTTGTCACGAGACTATAGAATTCACTTACCAAATTTGAGGAGCAAAATTATAGCGTAATAAAGCCATGGTTTTTTAGAGGAGAAACAGCGCATTCGATCTTCATATTGAAACTCTGCTGATGTTATGCCTATCGGTGATTCCGGCAGCCACCCAATAATTGATTAATCATTTTGTGTTTATATTTATGTTTTTCTCTAGTGATATTTCTATTTTCTTTTGATGTTAATTTTTAATTCTGTAATAATGTTGTTGGATGGCGAATAAACAACAACAAAAAAAAATTATTAAAACTGCACTCGAATGCGATTTTTTTCTTCTAAAAAAACACGGCCTTAATCACTCTAAACTTGTTTCTCAAATTTGGTAAATGAATAATTTAGTCTCGTGACAACAGAAATGTGATCTCAAAATTCGATAAAAATGACAACTAGCTGAAAGCATGGAACTAGTCGATGCGATTTATCGTCACCGTCCAACTAAAGTATCACAAGCACCGTGCGACGTTTACAAATTTACCCCGCCATTCTATATTTTACAGAGAAATTTTTCAACGAAGCTGTTCGTAAATATCACTGAATTATCTTTGTGCTGCTGATAAAGTTCGGTGAGATTTTCAAACAGATTCAACCAACAATTTCTCTGTCAAAAAATAAAATGGCGGCGGAAATTTTGAAATTTCGCATGACGCTTATGATACTTGGAGTCCCTTTATTGAGAGAGTTGAGACAACGCGGCTTATGGATGTCACAAACGGGAATGAAGATTACACAAATCGTACGTTTTTTGTCATCTTTGATCAACCCATTCCCGAATTCCTATCTCCGGACCCTCTCTCATTCCATTTGTTCCTTGTCGTACCCCCTATTTCCCGGTCCATTATAGTTTACAATATTTGCAGTTGGTGAAACTGTGATCTTTACTCCCGTTTGTGACTTTGTGAAGGCCTAAAATACGGGAACCAATCAGGAATGGATTCGTCGTGTCTTTACTCTCAGTACCCTGGTAAAAATTGGTAGTAGAAATCCAGTGTTCCAAAATACCATAGATCTACAGCCGGCTGTAAGATTTCCAATAGCTTCTATAGCCGGCTACACAATTTCTTATAGCCTTTCATAGCCGATGGAGATTAAGCAAAAGTCAGGCGATTAAGTGTATGCTAAACTTTACTAATTACGGATACTAGGACTTAGTGAGTTTTTGGATTACCGCTCTCTTCTTGTGCCGTAGTATCTTGATTTATTTTGCTAGGAAAGCTCCGTACTTTTGAAGGATGCCTGCCATTCCTAATATATTAGACCGCCTTCAGTCTCGTATGATACTGTGCATTACCTCTGGTTTGGTGTGAGGTAGTTGCTTCAAGCGCCGTGGCTCACTGCAGCGCGGCAGGCGAGCAGCCAGCGCGAAACGCGCATAGGCCCCTACAAACCTAACAGGGATACTTCACGCGTTGCGCAATGCGTGAAGTATCCCTGTTACGTTTGTAGGCGCCAGTGCGTCGCCGCTCCGCTTTGTGTTAGGCTCTAATATTTAATCTGGCGGAGTCAGCGTTATTCAACTCATGATTTTGAAAGGTTTGCACATCCTGTATGGATTATTCTCATTTTAATTTATGAAAAAAAATATGTATTAAAGGAAAATATAATGTGTGTTTTGTAAGTATTAAGGTGGTTCCGTATCAAACTTAATGATTTCCGAAGCACACGAATTTCTACACAATTTCTTATAGCCTTTTATAATCGATGGCGAAAAAGCAACACCAGGCGATAAAGTGTAAAGCCCGGTGATAGGGACTATAGCCCGGCGATAGGAACTATATAGCACGGCTGCATAATTTTGTATCGCTTCGTATAGCCCGGCCGTATGATTTTCTCCGCATTTTACAGCCAGCTATATGATTTTCTGTAGCCTTCTTTAGCCGGCTATAAGAATTCCTATGGTATTTTGAAACGCAGCTCTTATCGCGAATTTTTACCATGGTATAAATGGACTCAAGTGATACTTTGGCCGGAAATTGATGATATATCGTACGTCGTTCCGACACAAAATATGACGGCCATCAAATCACCGACCGCGGGTGGGGGAAAAACATCGCGAGAGCATGCCGCAGCACCGGTGGAATTATCGTCCGGCCCTCATTTCACATTTCTCATTGCATGGGCGTGTAGGTTGCAACTGCGTACCTGCGACTACCGTTTAACTGCATGTCAAGATCGCGAAACTGAAGCGGGGCCCTTGAAGACGCCCCTGGCGCCCAACTCTTGAGTCTTGCCCCACTTATTCACTTCGAAATGGAGTCATGAGTAATGAGTCGCTCGCACTGGTAAAATGATTGTGTTTTTAACGGTTGGAACTTAATTATCTAGAGAGGTACTTCTGAAATAGAAATAAGATCTGTCTTCTTGGCGGATCCAAAGAAGGGACCTGGAAATCGCCCAGAGTCCCTGTATAGAGAGAGTTAAGACAACTAGAGTACCTGCTTAGCGAGAATATAGACAGATCGATTCATGGAGGTCTTAGGGCCCAATAGTGCATAGAACAAAATTGAATGTTGCTTAGCATTTGTAATGTTAAAAAAATACGCGAAAAAAATGCTGATTTTACAATAAAAAAAATGCTACGTTAACTACGTCTACAGTTGAATGAACAAATTCAGAGTTGAGTTTTGCCCCCCCCCCCTTCTCATTCGTTTTGAAACATCAATAAATCCCATCAAATGAACGTGCCAGCGGGGGGGGGGGGGTGCATAAGACGCGTTTCCTCCTGTTGAACACATTTTTCGGAAAAGCCCCGTCAACAATACTAGCAAAAGTTCACGGAACTTTGCGCGAAAGTACTTCGTTAGCTTCGTAAACCTATTTCTGGGCGGACAAGGCCTTCTTTTCATAAGAAATGAACGAGAAAATTATGAAAGAACAAACATAAATGTGGATTAATGATTTTAACTTCCGCCGCCGCGCCGCACCGAGTTTGGCGCAATGCGTGAAGTATTCAGACAGCCTTGTAGGCGCGATGAGTTTCACGCCGACCGCTGCTGAACGCACTGTGTTTCACGCAATGCGTGAAGTATTCACGCAGTCTTGTTGGCGCTATGCGTTTCACGCTGATCGCACTGTGTTTGCCGCGATGTGTGAAGTATTCGTGCAGTCTTGTAGGCGCTGATATGTGTTACATGCCGATCGCCGCGCCGAGGGCTTCTCCTTTTCATCCCAAGGCCTCGTCATTATTTCTCTCTAAGTCGCGCCGTTCCAGGCCAAATTGCGTGTTTGGTCTCTTAACTCGACTAATTGGATTGCATTTCGCAAAAAGGAACCAGGAACATTGCAATGCTGCTAAGATTGTGCAACTTCTTTTGTCTTAGAAGAAAAACCTGACTATCTATAAACAGTTTCTATTTTACTCGCTAAAAGCTGTAAATTTAAGACAAAAATTACTCCGTAAATTTCATATTTTTTCAGGATTTCAATAGTTGTATTGCAATGGATGAAGTTGCACAATCTTGGCAACATTGCAATGCTCCTGGTTCCTTTTTGCAAAATGCAATCCAATTAAAGGTGCTATCTCTTGTATCACTGAAAGACGATAAAATCAGAAATGACTATACTCTCAGGAAATGAGAGATTTTGTCGCCTTCTCTCGTTTGTAATTCTTTTCTAAATTGGATTTTTTTATACCTACATTAAAAACAAAAGCGCAAAATTTGCCGCCCCCTATAGATTTGCCGCCATGGGCCGTGGCCCATGTGGTCACCCCCTTAATCCGGCCCTGCCTTTGGGTCTACAATCCTACTGCAATGCATATCTAGAAAGTATGTAGTATGTTTGAGGTGGATACTCACTCGAGGATCTTCCTCCAGACGAAGAGGGCGACGTAGGACGCGACGGAGACGACGACGACAACGAGGACGAAGCCGGCGGCCGATTTGGTAGGCTCGACGATGAGCTGATCCTCCTCCTTGGCCAGGGTCGCCTGGATCTTCGCCGAAAGCTCCGCAGTCTCCATACCCTCATCTTTCTCTTCTATCACGGCCCCCGCCCGGGGCCTCATTGAGTCCGTCCGTGATAACGAACTCACCAACCTGCAAAGCCACAAAATCAAACGTACGATCAAGTATAATATGTAAAACTATGGGTGTAATGGAGATGTTGCATGTGTGAGGAATTTGCGATTTGACTCTTGATTCTTATGTAAAAGTTCGCGAGAAACACGATGGTGCCACTGGTTTTCTCTGAAATCGACTCCCAAGCTCAAAAAAAGCTCTCAAGTTGAGGCCAAACTGGAGAGGATATCCCACGCTATCCTGAGAGTTCACCTCTACATCAAAACAAACTCTCCATGCAATGATAGGGAGCAAATACATTAGCAGTGATGCCGTGTTTTCAATTTTGGAGTCCCCAAATCAAGTGGCAACCCTGCTAATGTATTTGCTCCCTACATCTTTGCATGGAGAGTTTGTCTTGATGTAGAGGTGGACTCTCAGGATAGCGTGAGATATCCCCTCCATTTTGACCTCAAGTTGAGAGCTTTTTTTGAGCTTGGGAGTTGATTTCAGAGAAAACCAGTGGCACCATCGTGTTTCTCGCGAACTTTTACACAAGAATCAATAGTTAAATCGCAAATTCTTCACACATGCAACATCTCCATTTTCACCCAAATTGCGTGGGTTGTGTGTTCGAAACTAACCTTTGAGAATCAGGAGCAGTGCTCGAAACTCGCAGGCGCCGACGCACCAAATGCGCCTACGAAATTGGTCATGGCACCTAAGAAATGGAGGCTCTGCGTCAACATGGCCGCTAAAAATTGCCCCCTCCCCCTCCACTTCAATTTATCTTAGTTTTTCTTTTTGGAGATTTTTTGAAAGTTACAGGTTACAGCCGGCGGGTTCTTTAACTAAAAAATCTTGCATCTAACTCTTCACCAAATGCGCCGGGATATATAAGGGCAAAAAGTCAATTTGGCCCCTAAAAAATCTTCAATGGCCCCTAAAAATCGAGCCTGATGGGCCACATGGCTCCTAAAACTCAAAGGTGAATTTTGAAGACTGATCAGGAGCCACGTGGCCCAAAATCACGGCGCATATAGTGAAAATTTAGACGCAAGATGTTTAAATTACAGACCTACTTGCTGGAACTCGGGGAAGAGAATAGCTCCGAAAATCATTGAACAGAAAAACTAGGTAGGTTTTTTTTAAGGGGTGAGGGCAATTTTTAGGGGCCACGTTCGGGCAGAGCTTTCTACTTTTAGGCACCATGACTGATTTCTCAAACTTATATGACGCGTTGGCGCCTGTGAGTTTCGAACACTGGGTATAATCGCTGAGAATCAGGCTGAAATAGCTCATTGTCTCAGCACATAGTCCCTAGATTTCAGTGGCGAGAAGTGAACGATCGATTATCGACGATCCCCGATTTGAAGCTATGGTAAAGAATCGATTATTAAAGTGTTCGTTGCGAACGCCCTGTTTATCGATCCTTTTCCATAGGTTTAAATGGATGATCAATCGACGTATTGCAAAACACGCCACGCCACGCCACTGTTAGATTTAGTGCTGTGCCGAGGATTTTGAGAAATCAAAAGGCACTGTGTGTAGTTTTACCTAAATATCTCACTTAATATGCATTTTTTAAGAGGTATAGTAAAACAGATCAAGAAAGCCGCAAACATCCAGAATCAATTCGTAATGTCGTTTGAACTGGAAAAGAGAGTTTTGACACCCTCAAAATATTTTTCCTCGATTTCGAATTTCTCATATAGGACGCAGTCGGATCTAAAACTATATGCACATACTTCCAACTCATTTTTTGCCGAGGTGTGACTTGGAACTTGTTTCAGTTGAGCATGGTCCAAATGTATGGACGTTTCCATGCAGAAAACACGTACGGGACGGTTCAAGTGTACACAACACTTACGGAAAATCACCTAACCGCTCGGAAACTTAATACTAGTTATAGCGATTTTTAATTTAGCCAAAAGAATTGCCTTCTTCTCGATGTGCATACTCATATTTCAACGTAGGAATTGGACGTATTTCTATCAAACGGAACTATGTGCATTGAGACATGAGCCCTGATACCCATAAGAATACACGCATAACAGGGCTCACGTCATAATGCACATAGTTCCGTTTGATAGAAATACGTCCAATTTAATGACTCCCTCTGAGCACACTTCATTTCATTTATCATTCATACGTCGTAGCTGAAAATGAACGGTTGAAATTCCCGAGAATCCTGATGAATTATGACGTCTTTTCTGCCAGCGTTTCATACCGCAAGTTTTTCGATCATCATCAAATCTTTATGTTTCATCTCATTAATTGGACGTATTCATGCGAAAAGGAACTATGGTCCAAGCAAAACCTATTCACATAGTTCCTTTTAGCATAAATACATCCAATTGATGATTATATTTTAATGACGTCTCCATCCGCTTTTCTCAATTACGCTGGCTTGTGTAGGATGTCTCATATGTGGTGCCTTGCTTCCTACCCTTACACACAGGGGCTATGTGCTGATTGGACGTATCTCACCCAAACGAAACTACCTATGTGCATTAACACATGAGTCCTTAGATCCATAATAATATATGCATAAACAGAGCTCACGCCATAGTTCCGTTTGAAAGAAACACGGGGAAAGAGAAAAAATGAAAAGAATGAAGAAATAAATCCAATAGACAAACTCTCCATGCAAAGATAGGGAGCAAATACATTAGCAATGATGCCGTGTTTTCAGTTTTGGAGTCCCAAAATAAAGTGGCAGCCCTGTCAATGTATTTGCTCCCTATCTTTGCATGAAGAGTTTGTCTCGATGTAGAGGTGGACTCTCAGGACAGCGTGGGATATCCCCACCATTTTGGCCTCAACTTGAGAGCTTTTTTTGAGCTTGGAAGTTGATTTCAGAGAAAACCAGTGTGTCATCGTGTTTCTCGCGAACTTTAACATAAGAATCAACAGTTTAATCGCAAATCCCTCACACATGCAACATCTCCATTGACTGCCGACTTACACCGTCGATATAGGTTCTCTAACTTGACCATGGCCTTGCAGGGATATTAAGGTGATTCGATGGACGCCATATTTTGTGTCAGAACGGCATGCGATACAGCGCATCAATTGGTTCCATTTTTCAGCTACTAATCATTTTTCTCGAATTTTGAGATCGCAATTCTGTTGTCAGGAGGCTAAATCACTCACTTACAAATTTTTACAAAGAAATTTAACGTAATAAAGTCGTGGTTTTTTTTAGAGAGAAAATATCGCATTCGAGTGCAGTTTCGATATCGGTATCGAGTGCGATATTTTCTCTCTGAAAAAACCACGCCTTTATTACGTTGAATTTCTTCGTTAAAATTGGTGAGTGAGTGCTTTAGTCTCCTGACAACAGAATTGCGATCTCAAAATTGGAGAAAAATGACGAGTAGCTGAAAAAATGGAACCAGTTGATGCGATATATCGCATGCCGTTCTGACACAAAATATGGCGTCCATCGAATCACCTTAATCCGGGATTTGGATGAGAGTCGTACCTGGACGAGGATTGGATGGCGTAGTCCTGGTGGCGGGACTCGGGGGTCCCGGTCAAGTTGTTTAGCCTGAAGAGGATGTCCTGCATGGGGAAGCGGGCGAGGGTGTCGTTGAGCCGGGCCTCGCTGCCCCTGGCCCGGAGGATCTCGGTGAGGGGCGAGAGGACCGGGGCCCGGAGCGCCTTGTGCGGGGACTCCAGCCCGTTGCCGGCCGCCCGGAAGCCCTCGTCGCTCGGCTCCGGGAAGTTCAGCGGGGGCAGCTCCGCCGTCGGGTGCCCCGCCGACCCCAGCAGCTTCGGCAGGTCGTCCGGCATCGCCAGGCCCCCCGACAGCTCTGTAACAGAAAGATATTAGCTATGAGTGATCGACTCGAAAGTACAGTCGGACGCTTTTATACTAAATGGAACTGTGTGCAAGTGGAAAGATGGGGTATGCTCGTTAGCAGACACGTAGCCAGAGGGGGGGGGGGGGGGGACTTCGGGATGTCATCTGTTCCTAAAAGTATATCTGACATCAGGCACGGGGGGGGGGGGGGGCTTGGGGGGCTCAAGCCCCCTCCGAAAGCAAAAAAAGTAGGGAAAATGAAGAAAAGAGGAGCCAGGAAATACAAAAAGGCGAGAAAAGTGGAAGTTTGAACTTTCAAAATGCGTTGAAATAGATTTAAAATTTCAAAAATTTTCCAGATGTATTGAGTGCAACAATTTGAAAATATTGTAGGCTGAAAGTAAAAAAGATACGTAATTTTTCGGCAGAAATTGATGGAAAATCTGTTTCACGGAAGCCTCAGATTGCGTCTAAATAGAATTAAAATTTCAAAAATTTGCCGAGGGAGGCCCCCGGCCCCCCCCTTCTGAACGGAGAGTTATTTTATACCCCCCGAACTCCCCCCTTAGCCGGGGAGGGGGGAAAACCCTGCTCACCTGACCAAGTCCCCCTCGAAACGAAATCCTGGCTACGTGCCTGCTCGTTAGTTGAGGGCTGTAAGAATGAATGGGGATTTTAAAGCGCCAGTGACGTCAGCGGCAACGAAGCCGTCTCTATTGTCGTTATTGCTCGGCTTTAACTCATGAGCCCTGCCCACAACGCTCTTGTTACATGTCCACGGCTCACGAGTTAGCGCTCAGTTCCTTTTGGTTTAATGTCAAATCCCGCTTTTCAATTTTCTCAAAAGGAACTATATCCACTTTTACATTGTTTCTTATGCAGCTTCTACGAGCACACCCCGTCTTTCAACTCGCACATAGTTCCTTTTAGCATAAATACGTCCAGTTGTCCAGTTGGACGTATTTCTGCTAAACGGAACTAGAGACAGGATGGGAAGAAGGGGTGTGCTCAATAGTCGAGGGCCGTATGAATGAATGGGAACCAAAAACTATTGGACGTGTTCCTAATAAACGGATAACCAGAGACGAGTGGGAAAGATGGGATGTGCTCGTGGTGAGCTGCATAAGAGACAATGTAAAAGTGGGAAAGATCCCTTTTGGGGGAATAGAAAAACGGGATTTTACATTCTACCAAACGGAACTTAGAGACAAATTTATGCAAACCCACGAGCCATGGGCATGTCACAAGAGCGTGGTGGACAAGGCTCATGAAATGCGGTCAGTAAACCCTATGGAGAGACGCAACTATTCCTGCTCTAAAGTTGTCTACATTGCATACCTGAAAAATTGCAGGCGCTTTGGTTCTTTGTGGACTCCCTATCCTTGAGGATGATGAAAATGAGAACATCAAAAATACGATGCAAGATGCAACTGCAAATCCGCGTATTTCGGTTCGCAACGTTGCAATATAGGTAAGCCATTAAAATTCACTTTTTGAGAAATACTGATCATTGTCGCAAGTAAGCAAAATTTCGATTTTTCCTTGTCTTTAAAGAATATTTTCTCGAATACTCGTATGAAGAAAAAAAGGGGGAAAACGAATAATTAAATAAATAAAAAAACTAGAAAAAATAAGTAAGAATGGAATTTATGAGCAAGACCAAAGTATAGAATTCGCATAAAATGTGCATATATTGAGTCATATTAGCGAGACAATAAAACTCTACGTGGGTAAATAAATAAAATAACGTTAAGGCAGAAAAGTTAAATTGGTCAAGCAAAGAGTCGATATCTCCTGAATTTTTCTCAGTTAGTGAACGTAACTCTCTTCTATGTTATTTTTTCTCACCACACGTTCAATTCCTTATGTGCGGTCCGAAACGCGAATGTTGTTCGATGTGCAGTATAGCGGCGTGGCGTGCTTTGCGATCTATCGATTGATCTGCCATTTAAACCTATGATAAAGGATCGATAAACAGGGTATCCGTAACAAACACGTTAATAATCGATTCTTCACCACAGCTTCAAATGGAGAAATATCGATAATCGATCATTAGCGCCTCGCCTCTGGTGCGGTAGTCAATGTCTCAACATTAATACTTGATGCGTGGGAGCCGGAACCAAGTTCCATTAGTGCCTCTAAATTGGACGTCTTTATGCTAAAAGGAACTATGTCACACGATATCCCAATGCACATAGTTCTTTTTAACATAAATACGTCCAATTTTACTCGTACGTACTCACAATTGGACGTATTTCTGCCAAACGGAACTATGTGCATTATGACGTGAGCCCTGTCATGCATGTATTCTTATGGGTCTCAGGGCTCATGTCTTAATGCACATAGTTCCGTTCAGCAGAAGTATGTCCAATTTGAACGCGAGACACAATATGCAACCTGTTCAGACGTAATCATGATACGGCTTTAATTTGTTACCTTCCTATGATTGCATACTTAACTGCGAGATCTTGTTCGATTTTTAGCTGCAAAATAATGACACTCGCTCAAGAGGCCGCAGTTGATCATTATACGACCTATTTCAAGACAACTTATTGGCGTATATTCTCATAGAAATTGGATATTAAAACATGGCGCTGACATTAGAGAATACTTAGACTGTGCCCTCCAAATTTCATGCTAATGATATCTATAATCCTGCAAATGGTAAGACTACCTCAGATTTATCAAATTAAGTTAAGTGGCAAGGCGTGAATGACTGATTATCGATATTTCCTCGTTTGAAGTTGTGGTAAAGAATCGATTATTAAGCAAGGAGTTCGTTGAGAGCACCCTGTTTATTGATACTTTTCCATAGGTTTAAATGGCAGATCAATCGATATGTCGCATGCAGCACGCCATTCCACTGGCTAAGTTAGCGCAAGTTTCCTTCCCATACCACAATGAGTCCAGTACAACCTTTGCTGGAGCGGAAAAAAGCTAGACTTTTCGTTGAATAAAGCGCAAAAATAGCGAAGAGCATATCGAGAGGATTTATATTTATTCATTTATTTATTTAGTTATCCTGCAGACTTGTAAGGCGCTACTATGCGCCGCGTGCAGCGCGCACCGGCACCGTGCTGTACGCGCAATGCACGGAGTATCCTGCGGTCTTGTAAGGCGCTACTATGCGTTTTGTGCCGTGTGCGCCAGCCGCACTGTGTTAGGTGCAATTATTCAAACTTGCGGCGGTTTTCAACTTATGATTTTGAGGTTTTCGCACAGTTTGTTGGAATTTTTGTCATTACAAATGATCAAACATTAAATAAAATCCGGCTAATTTTCTTCTCTTCATTGACATATTTTTATAAATAATTCAAAATGGAAGCATGCAGGTGAAACGACTTTTACGTGTAAGCTCTCTCGTTGCTCAGCGATGTAACAGCATGATCATTTGGACTACAGTTTGCTTTACAGAGAGACGAAAAAATCACCAAAGTTTTCACAAAATAACATTTAATAGGTTTCCTCGCACTTGTTTTGTAACTTTTTTATAAAGAGAATTCGCAACTTTAACGCGTAATGTAAAAAAACCTGGGTCATATTTTAAAAATCTGAATTGAGCGGGCTCATCTAGAAACAATTGCCTGTCGAAACCCGCAAAAATCATGAAAATCGCTGGAACTAAGCGTTACCAGACATGCAAATTTAGGAGGTCTTGGAGCTTATATATATGATGAGCTTTTAAAGTTTTTAGATTTTGTCCGAGCTCTCCCGTCAATTCGATCCTCCGTGCGCCGTGCGGCTGGGGCAATTTAATAAGGATGACAGGGCCTTTCTGCGCCTTAGAGTTGAAGTCACCGAACAAATAAATCCTCGGGTCAAAGGTCCTCCGTGTCACTGTCTCCAATTTGCAGCCTGCGTGCAAGTCAACAGGTCCGACTCGATAATCAAACTATTTTTCCTTCGTCTCCTGAGTTTTTCTCACGGGTGACCTCTCGGCGAAATGGTGTCTGCTCATAAACAGAGGTCGCCGGGTCAGTCTCAATGTTCTGCGAGAGTTCAACTCGAATCTGATGCGACATGGTTCCGTCGACCAGTCGACGCTGACAAAAATGAGTGCGGGGTTAAAAATAGCACGGGGTTCATTTCCCATCGAAAATATATAAGAAGTAAGGACAAGTCGGGGAGCTCAGAAATCAGTTCTCCGGATTTTTGCGAAGAGATTGATGGGTGACACATGACGTTTTTTCTCAAGAACAACATACAGTTCGACCTGTTTTATATGAAACCAAGTGTTATATTTCAAGTTGAAAAGAGGAAAAAAGAAATTCCAGGTCGAACCAAGGGGTTTTTTCGAGAAAAAAGTGTCATGTATTCTGCCGTGCTAAGGAAGAGCGCCGTATGAACATTCGAGAGTTGCCAAATTTTCTTCGATAAAACATGTATGTTTGACAACATGAATGCATATTTTCCCTCGAAATTTTAAGATATTTTACATTAAATAGCGTCCAAAATTGTTTGAAAATTTCGGAAAATAATATACGCAATTTTCCCAGTAATTTCGGTTTTTATCGGAGAAAACTTGGCAACGTCTGAAGGCTCATACGGCGTTCTTCCTTAGCACGGCAATATTACCCATTAACCTCTTCAGAAAAATCTGGAGAATTGATTTATCTGAAATCTTTCGACGTCGAAATTTTTCGTTGTTTTCGATATATTTTTGATGAATAATAAACCCCATGTTACTTTCAGTAAGGACTCCAGAAAATGGGCACCAGGCGGATCCGCCAATCAGAGACGACTCGTAAGAGTATAAGGGGTGCCACTCCAAAAAAAGGTCCGATATGATGTTTATATTCGTAGACAACCAAACCAGATGTATCTTACAGTTGTCACCGACCGAAACTAACTGTGAGCTCACATGAAATGTCAAGGCTTCGAGATCATTTGGACGTATTTCTGCCAAACGGAACTATGTGCATTAAGACATGAGCCCTGAGATCCATAGGAATACATGCATAACAGAGCTCACGTCATAATGCAAATAGTACCGTTTGGCAGAAATACTTC